GTCTGAACTTGGTTCATCACTTTTTTCTTTGTAGTTCCCTCTGCCAAGTCATGTCAAATAACTCATTGTTTCTCATTTGTTTTTCTCCTCTCCTCTCTTGCTTTCATTCCCCCTAAATTGTATTCCGATCCCGGTTCCGGCTGTTTTGTCTCTTTTGATCAAATTTACTGCCATCTCCCTCTTGTTTTACGCCTTCTTATTCTTTTCGCCATCCTATTTTTCCTCCAACTGCAGATCATGACACAAATATTGGCCTCCCAAATGAGTTGTCTGTAATTACTTGAGAATAGTGTGGAAAGCTTGCCTGTGCTTTTTGTGTTTTTGTGTGTACTGGTGTGGGTTCATGGCCGTACAAAGCATGTCAATTCTCTAAAACACTACATATCACTGAAATAGTGTTTGATTCTCATTTACAGAAGGAACTGTTTAGCAGACAGATCTTCTTGAAGCATTTTTATGTCTCCGGGAAGCTCCTTTCCTGTTTTCTCATTCTGTTTCGACAAAGTAACAACAGAAGTGGATACTCGAACAGATGAGGGAAAGTTAGTACTCTGAAAATGCGTAGAGAACAGGAAGGGAAAGCTAGCTTTAGAGGTGATCAGCATAGTGGTGAAGCAAAGCCAGAAGCTAAGAAAAAGAGAACAGAGGGTGTCAAGCAGCTTTGAACATGAGAGGAGGAAGGAGAAGCAACTGTTGTGGAAATCTTTGTCATGAAGGCAGTTTTGCAGATATCAGTGGAAACCAGCTCTGAAAAGGCCAAAGAAGAAAAGAGAGCTCATCTGTTTGAGGGGGGGCGGCTGGCGAACACAGGAGACAGAAGTAATGGTGGCTAGAATTAAGTAGCTGCTCAGACTGAGTTACCTCCTCCACTGGAAGCCGCTGTGAAAATGACCCGTTTCTGTGGCACCAGTTCAGGCTTCATTATCACTTTTCTTCTGTCATTTGGTATTCTGTTTGTGAGTTCCTTTAGCTGTCTGTATATCTGTGTTGCTCCCCTATTAGCGCCATCGGTGCAAGGCACATAGATGGGAGCCTTTTGGTACAAACTCTGAACACAGGCACAGAGCCATGTTTTATTAATGTCCACTGCAGTTTAGATTTAGCATTTCCCTGTCATAAACATTTAGTCTCTTGTATGAAGATTTACCCTTGGTGCACATAAAGAGAAAAAAGCTTGGCTTATGTTTTTTTTTTTAACACCCCTTCTCCTTGTCCTCTTGTGCGCTGTCATCCCATCCCTTCTTTCCTTACTCTTTTGTGTCACTGTGCCTCTGAATCTAAGGCCAGCAGGAGGTCTAAGGCTTTGTCTACACTCTGTTCATTCAGTCGTCCACTTTCACCCAACCTTTATGTGAAAGGCTCGTTTTAAACGCTGTGCAAACCCATGTAGATTTTTTTTAGCTTCATCAGGTCTTTCTTTTCCATTACTCCGTCCACAGACTATTCTTTCTACTTAACAGGTGATACATAGACATATTTCCCCGTTCTTGATTCACCAGTCTGCGTTTTCTTGAATGAGGAATTTTCTCATTTTATTTTTTTTTTGTTTGTAGTTTTTTTTCTTCTCGACTGCATTGCTTAAATTATACATTTTAGTCTTTCTCTTTAGTCTTCTTTAATGGGGTTTTTATGGGTGTTCTCTTATTACTGCTGCTCAACTTTTGACTTGCTGTACATCTGAATGATGCTTTGGTGGACTTGTGGACTTTATTTTTTTTTTAAGGGTTTGTCTGTTTTTTGCCATTTTGTTTTTTGTTTTGAGATACTACTTGTGTGGTGACCCCCATTTAAACACCCAAATAGAATTGCTCTGCAGGATCTTTCCGTATCCATTTGTCAGATAAAATTTCAATTGACGGATTTATTCATTTTTTTGTTACTTTTTCTTCTTACCATCACTATTAGATAGCTGTCAGTGAATATTTGAAAAAGATAAGGTCACCAGTCAATTTGTCCTCTTGCTGTACTGCTTTTACGTTGCCTCTCTCTCTTTCTATCTGCTTTATTCTTTATTCAAATTTGCCTCACAGCATTGAGTTTTACTTTTGGGCACTGACAACAAAATAGGCCCATTAAAATGTTAAACTGCACCATCATAGTGGCCTTTCAGCTTGCTAAGATAACATCTTCATCACAAGGAATGAGTTTGATTTTTTTTTTTTTTTTTACAGGCAAGAATATTTAGCGTTATGGAGACAAAGTTATCAGCAGTTACAAGGAACAGGTATCGGGCAATGAATGTGAAATATGCACGCAATCCATGTTTGTTTAATAACAGAAATGTTATCTAGACTGAGTACAATGTGGACTTTTATGGAATGACAAAATCTTCTGCAGTGCAGCATCTTCCTTTGAATACCACAGCATACATAACAGGAATCACTAAAGGATGACGTGGAGTTGCGTTGCTAAGGCGACAGGTGAATCATTTAGTTTTCAAGGTTATGCCAACTAAAGCAGTAAGTTGTGAAAATATTCAACTTGATAAATGACTGCGGCTCCACAGATGAGACAAAAAGCAGCCAAAGTATGATAACGCATTTACAATCCGCAGCTTTATGTTGGATAATTTTTCAGACTAACTATGATAAAGGTGTCCTGATCTCATTCACAAAGATTGGGATATTATGGAATAATATATATTTTAAATGTAATATTTATCCAAAAGAACTGGGATCACATTAAATGCATTATATAAACAAAGAAGTAAACATGCCGGTAAATCTCTTAGACCACCACAAATCCTTCTTTTTCACATTATTGGCTCAGTTACCTCAGGTCTTCCCACTCTTATCGATTTTGAAGCAACTTTTCCGTCCCTAAACGTACGCTGTCTCTAGCCTCATTTCTCAGAAAAAGGCCAATGTTGATTGATAATTTCCCTCCCAAAGTAACTGCTGCCATTTGAACAAAAGGGTGCTCTTGTTCCACATTTACTGAACTTACCTGCAACAATGTACATTCAATTGCTGTGAAGGGAAGAACTACAGGAAATGGGAAGATGGAGACTAGGGTATGGCCAGGGTGTGACCGTTGGATGTTTTTAATATATTATTTTTTTAATGTTGAATAGTTTTAAATGGCCGTGTGTCCAGCTAGGTAAGAAGATGGTTTGGAAGCAGCTGTAACTCTCTGGCCTTGTATTCTTGTTTGATTTGAGTTTAACTTGCTAAACCTTAGCTAGTTTTTATAGATTTTTTACTAGCTGGTCTGACAGGTGGATGTTTGCTTATGATGTTGATGTGCAGCCGTTTCATTCAATCGGCTCCACCCTGTGGCTGTGAATGACATCCCTGAAAGCTCTGTGACACAAACCGTCTGAGAGTTTCAATCAGGACAGTTTTTTACATGAAGGGTCTTCTACGGACACTGTGAGCAAGGTGGGAAGTAAACGAAAGAGGGATACTGTACAGTGAGATTGTCCTTTGCAGCGATGGACTTTATTCATAATGTGTTGCATCAATAAGAAGTTAAGACATCCAGTTTGGTCTCAATATTGATTCAGTCGTCCAGCATTCATCTTTCTTACATTTTCTCAATAAGGTTCATTATCCTCGCCACTCGCTTTCTGTCTCATACCTATTATGTGCATATCTCATTATTTCTGCTCAAACTGAGGGAGCAATTACTACTTTGTCATCTTTTTTCCTCTCACCATTCACTCTCTCTTCCATCTGTGTGGATAGTTTTTCTTCTGTCATGGAGGGCGATTGTCCCCCCCCCCCTTGGCATCAGATTTTCTTTAACTTTCCTTTCCATTACATTCGGTTGATATTTTCTTTTTCTTGCCCTTTAAAACTCCATACTACCTCTTTCTTTGTTTTCTCGGTTTTCCATTTCACTCCGGCTTTCCTTAAAAATACCTTTTTGTTCTTCATCAACACATACCGTATGAATGACTGATTTTACACATCTCAATTGTCCATACTGCAGTGTTCTCTTCACACGCACACAGCAATTCAATTCCCTCATGTTCCTCCAGCTTCAACTGCATGATTTGATTGAATTGCCACATAAAGAAAGACACCGAGTAAGACAAAGAGAGGAGGATAAAGGGTTTGTGTTGGGCCTTATTGGTGGTGAGAAAACCTAATCTGGGAGGACACATCAACTTACCCATGCGTGCACACATTCAATCAAACCTGTCTACAGCGTACGCAGACGCATCCCATCAGAGCAGCTAGAAGTAAAGACCAGGCCTTCGGTGTCGCCGTAAACACGGTGCCCGAGGAAACACTACCTCACTAAATTAAGAACTACAACATGACAAATATGGTTAAGTTGCATACCGCGGCTCATCGAGGCGCTACGGGAGCAACACAAGTCATCAGGACGTGTTTTAATGACCAGCTATGTCACTTTAAAGGCAGCATATCATCATGTCTGTTGCATTTTAAATGATGGTAATTGTAAACATGGGAACATCAACTTGTTGTATTTGTTGAGAAGCTATTTTACAAATGTTTCTTTGCATTACATATAATTTCTTATAATTGTCACGCTATGGCATGTGTTCCTAACAAAAACTTCAAGATGCCAAGGTATTTGACATTTGAATAATAAACACATTCACACGTGATTCATTTTGATTGTTCAGTGTTGGCAAACCCTGTCACAGAAAATAATGGACCACCAGGTTTGATGGACAGTTCAAGCCATCTCCTGCAGCGGAGGCTGTTTTTATTTCAAAGTTAATTGAACCTTTTTAGTCTGTTTCAATAGAAATTTTAAACAGATTAGTCACTTACTTTAGGCTGGAAGTTGCTGTCCAGCTGCAGTGGGTTGCCACACTGAATTCTGCCTGATGTTTCTGAAAACCTGAGTGCACATTCATTTTCCATACCAGCAATTTAAGGTTCTTCAGTAAAAGTGGTGAAACTTCATTAATGTTTGAGGAAATTACTGTGATTTTCAAATCCAACCATTCATGCTGAAAAGTTGCTCTGGTCAATCAACAGCTCGACTGCTGCACAACTAAATTCTGGAGATCCTTGCATTAAATGACAAAGCTGATGTCCTGTATTTCTTTTCCAGGAAGTGCTGGTACACCTGTGCTGTTCAATGAGAATGGAGACGCTCCCGGAAGATATGACATCTTCCAGTACCAGATCAACAACAGATCCACCGCCGAGTACAAAGTCATTGGCTCCTGGACTAATAAATTACACCTCAAAGTGAGATTCTACTGCAAACACACATTTTAGGTTCACACTCAGTTAAGTCTAGATGTCTCTGAAAAGACCATCTAATGGCATTTGATCAAAAGAACTGAGGCATTACTAGCAAACATCTCAGTTTCAGTGATGATCATGTTTCATTATTTTGTCATTAAATAGAAAATATACAGTATATAGTTGAAGAGGTTTCCACTTCCTTTAATGCTGGATCGTCTTGTTGTTTTAGACAATGATTTCTGTGTATTAATGAAAAATAACTTTACCAAAATATAAACTCTATTATTGCTGCCGGTGAGACGTCATAAATCAAATATCTTTAGAATGAAAGTTCAACATCACCATGAGCATCTGCCACAAATTCACAATCCCTTGTTATTCGACTGAAGTTATTTGAGTTATTGCTTTCAGTCTGGCTTTATTGTTATCATATGTATTTTCAAAAGATGAAAAGAACTTCAGAGTTCTTATTTCTTTTCTTTGTTTTAAGCAGGGGGCACACACTGTGATTCAGAGGTGAAACACAGATGAGCGACGGCATTAAAGCCAGTGCCATGTTAAGGGAGAACCATTTCTAAACCCGCTACAACATAATGCTCTCCTTGAAAGACCTGCAGCCTGACATTTGCATTGACATTTTCCACTTACCAAAACATTTGTGTTGACCAGTGGCAACAGCAATCCATTATGAGTCAAAAGCACAGCTGTGAGCTCTGCAGAAACTACCAAGAAGACTCTGGAGTCTTTTCTCTTCAAAGACCTACACCACACAACACACAGGGCCTCAGGATACACAGTACATGTTCAGAAAAAAATCAATAGTTATGGCTGATTGGTGGATATAGTCTAATAGACACAATATCACTGCAGGGTGAAAGTTTGCTTTAAAATTGTATGCATAGATCATTGAATATTTGTTTATCTTTCTTATAAAGTGGAAAAGGGCTTTGTTAGCATTATGTGCTAAAAGTATTCTGAGAGTAGAGTGCAACTATAAGATGTAAGGAAGTGCACTTTAAAGCCCTGCTTGGGG